ACATGGCTTGTGTATATCGTATATATACATATATATTATTCATATCTTCGGTGTATAGGACGCAAACAGATTTTGACATCAAATTTTGGGGTAAAAAGGGCGTCTTATACACCGAAAAATATGGTATTTAAAGGGTTTTTTTTACTACATTCTTCTTTCTCATATATAATCCGGTAACTAAGAGCACTTACGTTTCTCTTTAATGTTGGAGTTTATAGATGATAAAAATTTTGGTTATGTTGATTTTTAAGAAATGGTTTCCCCAATACTTCTTTTTGAAAACTTACTCAAGTTATATATACATTAACAAATCAACATGGACTTTCTGTACTAAGACATATATTTTCTTTTGACTATAATTTTACGATTAAACTAGAATCTAAGCAGTACAGCCAACACATATTTTTTTTTTTTCCAAAAGATCAATCAACACTCATGTGGTATTAGTTAGGAATATATTACTTAAGTGGGACGTTATATTGTTTAAAAGGAGCACGTGACCTAAATGATATGGTACAACGTTTCTTTTTCTCTTCATGACCTGGTGGTTATAGCGCTCAACTCGCAATCTGCGGGTCGAAAGTTCGAATCCCCGTTCCTGAACATGCTCATCCTTTCAGCCTTTGTTTAAAAGGAACTTGTAGCCTAGACGAGAAGGACGAGAGGGATAAAATAAGATTCATAGTATCTAAACAGTAAAGTCAAACATGTATTTTGTTTAAAAGGGCCAAACATGAGACGTGCAGTATCAGTTTAGGATCAGTTTACACAAGAAGGTCAGTGCAACATTTTTTTTTCTTTTAAAGGATCAACCACGAATTAGACAGAGTCAGTCTAGAATCAGTATATTACCCAAGTAAAGCAATGCAGTTTATAGTTTTACTGGCCCAGTAAACTTGTAGAGCTTCGTTTAGTTTGGTTTGATTTGAATATTCGGACAAAGCTACACAAGAGTTATCTGCGCATGAACATCCCTAGTTTTAAGTAGCAGTCTAAACGGAAAGCAGCTAGTTAACAGAACCCACCGCCAACTCTTGGCCTACTCTCATCGAATAATGAAATTTGATTGTCACTCCTATAACCACTAGGCTCAAACTTGTAACATATTATATAAGATCAATAAAAATGTTATTTCTGAACTTCTTATAGTATTTTGCGAATTTAACTTGGCGGTTTTTAGATAGATGATGAGATGAAACTAAACGGAAATCAATAAGAAGAAAGGTTACCAACTAGTGATTTTAATATACCTACATAGACACACTTCTTTACAAACAGTTTCTAGGGAGTTTTCGGCGATTTGTAGGTAGCTAGTTTTTCTAGCGAATATAAACGAATAGAAAAATTGATCTAAGTAATAAACACATTTAACGAAACAATTTTCCTATAACGTGATTTCAATTTAGTTACAAGCCGCTTAAATAAGTTTACACTAAAACCACTGTGAATAGGATTATGAAAAATATATGTAGCCGAATGACTGACAGAGAAAAGAAAATTCTACATCCAAGATGTACCGCTGCTAGCGATATACGGAATCAAACACCTGTATTCGCGGGTATAAAGTGGCTGCTAGAAAGAAGGAAAAACTCAAGATTAATAAATAAGGCTGATAACACTAAGTACAGGGGACTGCAAGACTAGAGAGATGTAAGCAATCGAGTCACTGTATGTAGTGAGAAATGATACAGACAAATATAAATCATTATTTGTCTGAAAAAGTACAGTTTATAATGATAACGTATATGGGAAGACATGTTTTTCTACAACCGTTCAATAATGAGAATAGCTTCTTGTATTCCTAAAAAGTTTAACTTAGATAGGGATATATCCAAGTAGTATCTGTGTTTCCTTGAGAAGTACAAGTTGCAACGTGGTACATCCAGGCAGTATCTATGTTTTCTTGGGAAAGACAAGTTAGAGAGTGGTACATCCAAGTAGTATCCGTATTTTCTTGAGAAGTACAAGTTATAGAGTGGTACATCCAAGTAGTATCTATTTTGTTTTTTTTAGAAATATGAGTTATAGAGTTGTACCTCCGGGCAGTATCCGTGTTTCTTTAAGAAATTCAAGTTAAAGAATGATACACCCATATAAGTATCTATGTTTCTGTGAAAAATACAAGTTAAAGAATGGTACATCCAGACAGTATCCGTGTTTCCTTAAGAAGTACATCTTACAGAGTGATACATCCAGACAGTATTCATGTTTCCTTGAGAAGTACAATTTAAAGTGTGATACACACGTGTATAGACTCAAGTACAATTTAAAGTGTGATACACACGTGTATAGACTCAAGTACAATTTAAAGTGTGATACACACGTGTATAGACTTAAATACAATTTAAAGTGTGATACACACGCGTATAGACTCAAGTACAATTTAAAGTGTGATACACACGTGTATAGACTCAAGTACAATTTAAATTGTGATACACACGCGTTTAGACTCAAGTACAATTGCAATTACAATGATTTTACTTACAATTAATTACAAATGAATGAGAAATATTTGAGAATTATTACTTCCAAATACCTTAACGTAAATATTTTCTATTGATATAGCTTATTGACAAATATGTTAATAAATATTCTTAACTCCGTTTTTTTTCTGATTCACCAATTATTTTGCAAACTAAATAAACTACTTTTATATTTAGACATTTTTCATCGTGGAATCCTCGTTTTCGTATCTGATTGGTAAAACAGTGTTTAGTCATGACGAAAAAACAATTTAATGAAATATTAATAGGTATGCTACTTAGTAGCCGCTACTAGGTGTTGTCTGATAGCCTGAAACATTTTGGTTGTCATTCGTGTCTGAACAAAGTTTCAACATCGTTATTAGGTGGCATATAATGTATATAAATATATGTATGGATTATTCTAGAACAATGCAATTCCATCGTGAGTTGTTGTTTTTGTGTTTTTTTCTATAGTGTAATTCTCTTTTTTCTGATTTGTGCATATAATATGCGAAAATATCTTATAGATGTCAGGGAATTCTAATGAAAGTGTTGTTTCTTATGTATAATGTTGAAATGTGCAGTTCAGTGTCCAGGAAGAATTCGTTTTTTTATATTCTCCAAAAGATTTTTCAGTTGTATAGCAATACTTCATTCCATTATTCAAATGGATACTGTCTCATCTTAAACAAGCAATATGTGTTCATCCATTTCGCCTGGACTGCATGAATGTATAAATAAGTAGCTAAAATTGTCAGAACCTCAAAGTGTGATTTAACAAACACACTGCCCAACGTTCGGTTTGAGGATCATAACCGTATACGGACGTGAACATCTGCCAATTTTTATCAGATATGTTTGATTGTTTAGGCTTCATAAAGAAAGGTTTAGCCCTACTCAAAATGCTCTAGTGTTTTGTAAAAGTACAAATGCTATATTGTGAAGAAGCTGAAATTATCTTGTCTGGATGAATGCAAAACTATGTAGACAGGAGTAACTTATTGATATAATCATAATGATTAACGATCTGTCACCCCTCAGAGTCTGGTAACAATGGCCAATGGCACTAGTAATAATGCAGAGTGATGAAAAATGCATATTAAAAACAGCGTTGATAAAAATGGCGCCACTAATCATGTAAAGTTGGAAAACTTATTACATAGAAATTATATATTTTTTGTTGTATTTTTCTTTTCCTTTTGGGAAGAAACGGTACAATATTTAGTGTGCCATTTTTCCATTTTGTATTTTTACCA